ATTTCAGGAGACGTATATCATGTTCTTCTCGACGTCGGCAGCGAAACTGTGGTCTTTGATGGTGGAGGCGCGATCGATATACCTGGCACTGGTGACCTTTATGGCGTTGTCCACGACGGTTGCTCTTCCAGCGCAGGGTCAGTAACAATCAATTGGGGCAATGACGTCTTCACTCACCCAATTGCAGGTCATGCGCAAGCGTGGTGCTGCCAGACTGGGCTGGCCCCGACGCCCAGCCAGACTCTCGCCGCGACGACGGCAAGCTCCGCCACGGGGACGGCAACCGCCACCACGGAGGTGCCGCGCGCTTGGGAGAGCGGCGGGGGCGTCATCCTGCTGAACGACGGGGCGACGGCGCAGCTGCCCGGGAGCTCCGCCGGAGACTGCGGCGGCTTCAGCTGCATTAGTTTTAGATGGATATTGTAGGGATGCTGAAACCAGAAGCTATGTTACTGTATGGATGCATGCCCAAAGCCCCAGTTGGACCTTCGATGAGTGCAGTGACAAATGTTCAGCGGTTGGGCCATGCTGCGTTGGTTTTATATATCCAGCCGGAGAAGGCGCGGCCGCCTGCAGGTCCTTCAGAACTGGCCCTGGAGCGTTCGACCAGACTATTTGGAATTAGCTCGGCGCGTGGGGGGCAGGTGTTGGGCCATGGAAGAGCGGTGGCAGTCCAGGTGTCTCTTATGACGCGTCGGGCACTGGCCCAATGACTGGTGCAGGGTCCGTCGACAATGATGGCCCTGCCACTGAATGTTTCGCTCCAGCCTCTTCGCTCGCGTCAGCGCCGACGCCGGCGCCCGCGCCCGCGCCGACGCCGGCGCCGTGCGTCGATTTCCAGTCCGCCACGGACGACGGCATGGTGAGCGGCGTGAACTATCTGGATACACCGTCAGGACCCGTTCAAGTTTATTGCGATACGATCGCCTTGGATGGCACGGGGTGGACATTGATTGCTGTGAGAACGAACGGCCATCCTAGTTCGCAGGCTAGCGATGTTCTGCAACCTAGTGGCGTTGGCCAGGTGCTCCCAGATGCAAGCTGGCAAGCCCTAAGGGGCGCCATGGCGAATAGCTCTTGGTCAATGGCGACGGTCAACAGTAAAAACCAAACGATATACGAAATCAGCGAATGCGTGTATGACGCACGTGCCTTCTTCATTCCATCAGTTGCGCCGTTGAATCGTGCTAACTGTCAGCCTTTAGCGGATGCTCTCGCTGCCACCCCTTGGGCGCATGCACAGACGATCGGTTGCGACGGCGGTGGAGGTGATTATTCATATTTCATGGGAATGCAGGAGCGCCGCTACACTGATGTTATCACCCGTGCGGAAGCTTGGTTTTGGATAGAAGTATGGAATTCAGCGGATCTTGGCTCCACATGCCATGCGTTGTCAGAATTCGATTGCGAATCTGGCTTCGACTGCGACGCTGTCTTCGTATACGCGCAGCGATCTCAAGCGCCGTGCATTGATTGCCAGTCCGCCACGGGCGACGGCGTGGCGAGCGGCGTGTATTAGCTGGATACACCATCTGGGCCCGTTCAAGTTTATTGCGATATGATCGCGTTGGATGGCGCGGGGTGGGCACTGATTGCTGTAAGAACGAACGGCCATCCTAGTTCACAGGCTAGCGATGTTCTGCAACCTAGTGGCGTTGGCCAGGTGCTCCCAGATGCAAGCTGGCAAGCTTTAAGGGGCGCCGTGGCGAATAGCTCTTGGTCAATGGCGACGGTCAACAGTAAAAACCAAACGATATACGAAATCACCGATTGCGTGTATGACGCACGTGCCTTCTTCATTCCATCAGTTACGCCGTTGCTTTATGCGAGCTGTCAGCCTGTAGCGGATACTCTCACTGCCACCCCTTGGGCACATGCAGAGACGATCGGTTGCGACGGCGGTGGAGGTGATATTCATATTTCATGGGAGTGCAGGAAGGCCGCTACACTGATGTTATCACTCGTGCGGAAACATGGCTTTGGGTAGAAGTATGTAATTCAACGGATCTCGGCTCCACATGCCATGCGTTGTCAGAATTCGATTGCGAATTTGGCTTCGACTGCGACGCTGTCTTCGTATACGCGCAGCGATCCCAGGCCACGGTCACCACAACCACCGGGACCAGCAGCACCACAGTGTCCAGCACGAGCGCATCCAACAGCATAACGCGCACCCGCACGACCGGGACCAACAGCACCACAATGACAACCACGACTGGGAGCAGTAGCGCCACGGTCACCACAGCCAGTGGGACCAGCAACACCACTGCGACAAGCACCAGCGCCTCCAGCAGCACCGCGCGCACCAGCACGACTGGGACCAACAGCTCCGCTGTGACAGCCACGACTGGCAGCACTAGCTCCACGGTCACCACCGGCAGGAGCGGCAGCAACCCGGCGCTGCCGCCGCCGCCGTGCAGCAAGCCCCTCGCCGCGAGCAGGGGCGCCCGGCATCGCACCGGGGGATGGGGGGGGGGGGGGGGGGCAGGACGGGGCACCCCTTCCGCCCCCCCTCCCCCCGCCAGGCCACGCCAGAGGCCGGGGCCGACCTCCAGCCCCGCGGCAGCGGCCGCTGCGGCCCCCTCGAGCCAGAGCGGCTTGAGCTTGAGCCAAGGGCTACGGTCACTGGTGGGGATATTTTTTTTGGTCGCGGCCGCGAGACGACGGTCAGGCGGCAAAAGCAAAGTCCGGGACGCGAGCTAGGCTAATTAGCTACACCAAGCACAGGCCGGCCGGCCCACTCACACAGCAGCCGCGAAGCTGAAAGGGAGGAGCTGACGGCGGACGGCATCCTGAGAGCTCGAGCACGTGCACAGGACAAAGCCGCCTGGTGGGGATACTTTTTTTTGATTCGCGGCCCGCAAGGAGAAGTCCAGAGGGCGGGATGACCGAGGCTGGGGCACAGCGCAAGATAATTGGCGCGAGAACGCGCGAAATGCACCTGCAAAACAAATTAGGAAGAGAGGCGGCCACAATTCCTGGTGGGGATACGCGAAACGTCAAGAATTACTCGTTTTGCGGCATCTTCAGATATTCGGCTTCACCAGACACGCTCACGAGGGCCTCCGGGGCTGCCAGTAGGGGCCCAAGACGATCGCAGGGGCCCGCAAGGGGAGCCCAACCGGGGGAACTCGGCCTGCCGCTGGAGACCTTCGCGCCGACATGCCCCCCCACGACAGACAGCAGACCCACACAGGCCCCCCGATGTACCCCTGGGGGCCCAAGGGGGGGGGCCCCAAGAGGCCCCCACGCGGCTTCTAAGAAGCCCTCGGGAGGCTCCAGGAGGTTTCCAATAGAGTTCACTCGTCCACGGCCCGGCCACGGTAGCAGGATGGGCCGAGGGCCACTGGATCCGCTGCCCCCGCCGCCTGCGGATGGGGTGCTCGGCGTCGCGAGCCAGCTCTTCTGGGTCCTGCCCCCCAAAAGTTTCCCCCGTGGCCTTGGAGGCAGCCCTGTGGCCTTCGATGCGTCCCTGTGGCCTTCGGTGCATCCCGCCAGCCACCTGGGCGGACCCGGGCGGGGCGGGAGGCAGTTGTCTCTCCGTCCAGGGTGGCTCCGCAAAGTGCACAATCGGCGCCGATCCACTCAGCCGTCGGCGGAGATCTGCACGCGGAGGCCCGGAGCACAGAGTGGGGCGATACGACCCAACCCCAAAACGTATCAGAGCCACCGGGGAGGGGGATGAAGGGGAGGAGGGCGATGACGAGGAGGTCGACTTCATTGTGCTGCTGCCTGCACCTTTTGACCGATTTTCGCGCGCTCGCCTCTCGGGCTTCCACAGGGCGGCCCAAGATACCCAAGACGGCCCTAAGAGACCCCCAAGACAACCCAAACACACCCAAACCAAGGCGATTGAAATGCCACTTCTTATTGCCCTCTTGACTCCAGCAAATTCGCACTCGGCCTTCGGCGTAACCCGCCGACCACCTGGAAGCGATCACATACGATCCCCCGTCGGCTGTTCCGCCCAAGATAGCTCCAAGATGGCCTCCGAGACGGCGACGATGTGCCACGATGCTCCCCAAGACTGTCCCAAGACGACCCCAAGAGCACAATCTGGCCCCACGGTGGCTTCAAGGCTGCCCAGTATAGCTCCGAGACGGCCCAAACTGGCCTCAAGACGGCACAAGAGTGTCCCGACACGGCTCAAGAGGGCTCCAAGAGGCCCTCCAGGAGGCCAAACTCGCTGATATCTTTTTTGTTCTCAGATTGTATGGTCGCGTTCCTGCATTTTGGGGTTCCAGCGGCGGGCGCCAGAAGCCTCCACTATAGCCTCATGATGCCCCCCAAACGTGGCAATAGGGCCCCCAAACGGCCCAAGAGGCCTTCAAGACGGACCAAGAGACCCGCAAGGCGACCCTGAAGCGCCCCAAAACATCCCAGAGGGCTCTCCAAGCGACCTCCGAAGGCGCCACGGGCCAAAAGAGGCCTAAGACGGCCTGAGAGGCCACCACTATGCTCCCCAAAGCATAGCATTCAAAGGCCATAGATCTTCAACAGACCCCTTAGGAGGTCCAAGAGGGCCCCAAGAGGCCTCTCCCTCCACCTCCTCGCTCTCCTTCACTTTCCTCTGCTCTTCCTCCTCCTCTCTCCCTTTCGCCCCAAGTGCTCCTCCATCGTTCCCACAGCGGCTGGGGGATCACACCGTCTACTAGCTTGGTCATAGTACTTTGGACCAACGTTTGACCACACAGGTGTTTTGAAAAGGCACGGTGCGGCGGTGATTCGCCGTAGGCTTAAGTCGGGCACGTCCCCCTACAGGGGGATTTTGGGCGACAAAGTAAACATACCCCCACAATGCACCAAACATGCCCAAACATAATCAACAAATAGCCCCCCGACTATTTTTTCACTATTGTTGAATATCCCTCCTGCAGAGGGACAGGCCCGAAACCATCATTATCGTCAGTCGCAACCGCCGTCACTGCTGTCGCTCGGCTGCCTCTGCCCCAGCGGCGCCCCCATGGAGGGGGGGTCAAGGGGCGCGGGGGCGCTCGGGCCCCGATGGTTATCATGCTCTGGTTGGTGACCAGCCTCTTCTTCTTCTTCTTGCCCGCCTGGAGGAGGAGACATACAATGGCGCCATACGGTGGGGGCATTGGATAAGGAACCCTTAGATAAATAATCCAGGGTCTGAGAGCCAGGGGAACGCCAATTGAGGCTGTGTAAGGGGCAGCATCGCCGCCCTCATCAGATAAGGAACCCCCCAGGGTCTGAAACCTCCTGGGCACATTCCTTAACCAACGCCCCCACTGTATTCATATAATGTGGTGGAAGCCGCTTTGTTCAACAGGAGCCTCGGCCAAATCCCAACCAGACATCCTGGCCGACTCTCCTAGCAACGGAGCCCCACTCTTTCTACACCAACCCACTCGGTGAACTTCGTGGATCCCACATAACGAACGGCACATTCGACGCGTGTTCTGCCCAATCATTCAAACGCCACCCCCAATCGTAAACTTGGAAATGGGAAAACCAAACAACTGCTTTTCAATCGCTCCCGGGACACAATCAAATGAAGAAGGCACGGAGAGGGTGAGGGAGCAACTCGGTCATAGGCAGAGCTGGGATACAACATGTGGCGATTCAGCCGTACTTTTACGATCGTACCAATGCAGGTAGGAATACTCACACGCACACCTTCCTCAACTTGTTTACGCTCCAACAGACAATCTGCGTCAATGCGTAGTACGTGTACTGACTGGCCAAGCTGGACATGACAGACACCGAATGCATGCCACTACTTATCACCTGTGCCCCTCCTCCTCACCGCTCCGACGGAATCGGTCGAAACAACTATTGCGGTACTGTCATGACACACCTTGCCCGATGTACTGACCTCGGTGCCCGGACGCGACTTCAACAGCCGCTTCGCATCCTTAGCACGCGACAGCTACACATCATTATTCACTCTGCCTTGGCTCTGGACGAAGAGCTTCGCGTCACAATGCCTCGACCAGCGTTCAGGCGATCTGACTCAAAAGAGGAGGAGGAGGGGGAGGAGGAGGAGGAGGAGGAGGAGGAGGAGGAGGAGGAGGAGGGGGAGGAGGAGGAGGAGGAGGGGGAGAAGAAGGAGGAGGAGGAGGAGGAGGAGGAACACGAAGTGTGAGGAGGCACGAATGCACGGGCGGCGGCGAACGATGAGCTCGCGCGGCCAGCAGGCGGCGGCAGGGGAAGGGGTGGCGCCGTGGGGGGGTTCAGCGGCACCATGCCCTCGAAGCCGTTGCAGAAGCTCTCCACCTTCCCGCCGCAGCGCACAATCCTTCCACCTCCTCCTCCTCCTCCTCCTCCCTCCTCCTCCTCCTAATTACTCCTCCTCCTCCTCCTTCCTCCTCCCTCCTCCTCCCACCGTTGCAAAGGGGGGTAAGCGCGTGCGAAAGCGAGGTCTTCCGGAATGCCCGAGGAGGCATCTGCCAGCAACCGCGCGAACAGTTCTCCCGAAGTCGCTTCGACGTGAGAACTCTCAAGGGATCGGGGAATGGCGCAACGAGAAAGGACGTGGAAGAGGAGGAGGAGGAGGAGGAGGAGGAGGAGGAGGAGGAGTAGGAGGAGTAGGAGGAGGAGGAGGAGGAGGAGGAGGAGGAGGAGGAGGAGGAGGAGTAATGCGACACATATGTATTGGGCAAGTGAAAGGCAAAGGAAAATACAAGATAATCAACAGGAATGAGGGAACAACTCGTTTGCGCACGCCCCAGCAATTCTCCCCTTTCCCCCCCTCCTCCGCCTTGCTCCCTTACTCATCCCTTTCTCCCTCCCCGCACCCTTTGTATTCGTACTATCCTCCCCTTCAAATCGATCTCCCCCTCCCCCCTCTCCTTCCTCTTCTTCTCGTTCCCTTCGTCCTCGTCCTCGTCCTGCTCACCCTATCCCTTCGCCTCCTCCTCCTGCCCCTCCTCTCTCTTGTTTTCCTCCTCCTCCCCCTCCTCCGCCTCCTCCTTCTCGTCCTTCTCGTCCTCCTCGTCGTCCTCCTCGTCGTCGTCCTGCTCCTCCTCCTGCTCCTCCTTCTTCCTCTCCTCTCTCTCTCTCCTCCTTCTCCTTCTCCCCCTCCTCCTCCTCCTTCTCCTCCTCCTCCTCCTCCTCCTTCTCCTCCTCCCTCTCCCCTCCCCCTCGGCCGTCGCGCGTCTCCCTGCTGCTGCCCCGCCCTGGCCTGCAGCGAGCCTATGGCCAGCAGGCTGTCGGCGTTGAACTTCTCGTAGTCCCTGGCGCGGAGGGCCGCTGGGGGTGACCCCGCCGCGCCGCCCCGCGGAGAGGCGGGCGCACTCTCGGGCGACCTCTGGGGGGAACTGCCATGACTCCGTTTAGAGCAGGAGGAGGAGGGGGAGGAGGAGGAGGAGGATGGGGAGGGGGAGGAGGATCAGGAGGAGGAGGAGGAGGAGGAGGAGGGGGAGGAGGAGGACTGGACTGGACTGGTCCTCCAGAGGAGGCGGTCGGAGGCCTCATGCGTGGCCGCCTTTTCGTGGGGGGCGCCTGGGGCCCGGGAGGGCCGTCGTGCGCGACCCCACGCCGACCAAGCTTGAGTCCGCCTCCGCATTCTGAAGGGGGAGGAGTGGGTGGAGCTGGGCTACAGGCCCCGCCCTCCCCAGCACCGTCCCGTCTTCGGAAGTGGGGGGTCGGAGAAAAGCCTGGCCGTGGAGGGGGAATTGGCCAATCGGAGGAGAGCCGGAGGGCCTCTCCGATTGGAGCTCTTGCATGACCTTCCGACCGAGGCCCTGCCAGTGCATGGCGCAGATGCGTGGCGCGGCGTCGGAAGGAAGGGGGGGAGAGCCATTCCCAGGGAGAGGAGGGGGGGAGGGGCCAATCCACCTGAACCTCAGCGTGCCCAGCCTGGCTCTGCCCGACCCTCCGGCTCCGGAGGGAGGGAGAGGAGGTGGGACGCAGGCAAGGAGGACGGGCCGAGCGGAGGAAAGGCGAGCTTTTAGTCCGCCACTGGGCCCCAGAACCTCGACACAGCGAGGTCAATGTCTCTGGCGAGGGTGGCTGCCTCCGCGAATCCGGCCTCCCCTGGGCGGACCGAGAGGATCTCGCGGACCGCTGCTTCCCTGGACGGCGGAGGCGGGGAGCCGCGCGCTGCCCAGAATGCCGCTCTCGCCACGCCAGTGTTGCTGCAGCTCCCCAGGACATGCAGCATGGGGCTGAGAATCTGCCCCTGACAGCAGACACAGACCTGCCGTCGGGCCCTCGAGCGGACTCCTGCTGAGTGGCTCAAGACAAGGAGCTGGCACCGGAGCCGACTGAGGGAGCGCTGGCCGAAGAGGGCCGTGCTGGGCAGGCGCAGAGAGAGCGCTGTGGAAAGGTCATCCCGGGGCACTGGGCCGAGCGAAAGCGGGGCGGGCACTCGGACCCGCGTGCAGTCGTAGGCGTAGGGCTGCGCTGCATCTGGCCTTGAGGGTGTCTCGGATGTGTGCTTTGTACGCCGGGAGGGCGGACTCCCCCCTTGCAGCGCCGACCCAGGCGGGCCAGTCCGGCAGACCCCACTCTTCCAACAGCGCCAGCGAGACAATCGCCCAGGTGCGCCCTGGAGATACATGGCCGTGCACAAACGTCCCCTTGTAGAGGTCTCCGTCCGGAAGGAGCCACAGACCAGCTCTGCGGGAGGCGATGTCAAGGATGGCCCGTGCTCCACCGGAGAGCGACCAACCTAGCTCTGAGACTGCTACAGCGCCATCACGCCAGGGATGGCTCCCCAGGAGCGCCCTGGCCCACCCTTCGTAAGCAGAGTCCAAGCGCTCAAGGGCACCCTCGGCTGTGGCCAGGAGCCAGCGCCCGAAACGCAGGGAGGCGTCAATCTCCATGTCGAAGATGTATGCCGCAGCGGCCAGAGGGAGAGCACCTGCCGCCACGTGCCCCGCCAGGGACGCACACTGCGCAGAGGCCACAGCAAGCCGCGCCTCCAGTGCTCCAAGCAGGCGGAGATCACCAGGCCACTGAAGGCCAAGCCATCTGTGCTTGGGGGCTAGGTCGACCTGCACCGGCGGGAGGCCGCGCAGCGGCAGCAGAAGAGGAGGAGGGGGAGGAGGAGGAATAGGAAGAAGGAGAAGGAGGGGGAGGAGGAGGAGGAGAAGGAGGAGGAGGAGGAGCAGGAGGAGGAGGAGGGATGATGATGATGATGATGATGATGATGATGATGATGATGATGATGATGATGATGATGATGATGATGATGATGATGATGCTGATGCTGATGATGATGAGGAGGAGGAGGATGATGATGATGAGGAGGAGGAGGAGGAGGAGGAGGACAAGGAACGCGGGAGGGAGGGGGGGAAGGGAGGAGGGAGGAACAGGGAGGAGGGATGAAGTGACGGGGATGAAGGACGGGGATGAGGGAGGATGGGTGACAAGGAAAGAAAGGATGGAAGAAAGAGAATGTTCTGATTCTGCTAATGGCCGGGGTCTTACTGCTGGGTCGGCTGCCCAATTACTTCACGAACACGTCGAAGACAAAAACGAAGACGAGAATGATGAACGCACACCAGGCACGGTGCCATCCGCGGTGACTCAATCACAATGCCCAACCCAGCAATACTCTCACGGTATGGCGAGCTGCAAGCTACTTCCAACCACCAGCCAGGCCAAACATGGATAAGACACACAACGTACAGCATTCTGCCGAAGTACTGCACCCAAACCAGCCTGCACCGCCCACGATGCAGTCGCGTACAAGACATCGCGATACGCGTGCAAACAACACCCGCACGATGTGGCCCACGAGAACAAGCCGTGGCAAACAACATTGATGGACACCTCCACCTGCACCAACACGACAGCACATAAGAGCCGACAGGTGAACCGCCACGAAGAAGCCCTGGGCCAGAGGCCACATCCACATCGCAGCATACGCAATCAGAACCCCGCCAGAAGCCGATGAGGCACCAGGGCACACCAAGCCCGATGGCGAGGGGAATGCTAGCCACAGCGGCTCATTCCCCGAATCCTTACGCGGACATTGCACCTGAACCGCATTCCACCATTACATCGAACTGCACAATAACCATACCAATGGAAATGCGCCCAAGCCTGCGATGCAACAACGAGAAATGTGCGACGCGGATGGGTGGAAAAATGATCGCGCCAATACCTCGAGCCCCACGGTGAAGGACGAGGTAGTCAAACAATCCTTGCTGACGCAACACTTCCCGTTGATTGAAACGGCTGCACGCAACTCCGCCGCGATCTTCGGCGCAACGCGCGATGGCTCGAAAGCCTTGTCAGAAGCAAGCGTGTCCTCTGACATCGCTTTCTGCATCTCCTTGCTCGAGTCCAGCGTGGACATGCAAGCATCCTCTCCTGCGATAGCGTCCACGGTGCTGTCGATATCGATCTTTGCCACGAGGCCTTCCTTTTTCAGCTCCTTGAGCGCGTCCTTGTCAACCGCAACCTTCGCCGTTGCCTTGACGGCGCCAGCTAAGCCGCACGCCATCGAAGCGGGATCAGAGGCGAAAGGGGAGGCGAAACACTTCGCCGTGAGAACAATAATGAAGACACAGGGCACAAGACCGGGGCGGAGCAGAAGGCTCGGGACGCGATGGACTTGCAATCGAACCGTTCCGCGCGGGATCTCGGAGCGTCGCGCCACCCGTGCGCCGTTTTCTGTTGGGGCGTTACGTTGGGTGCGTTTTGGGTGATGTGTGTTTCTAGTTTGGGTCTATGCTGATTTTGATGTTGGGTGTAACTGGATGGCGTGGATCCTGATGGCGATCCTGGTGGTGACAACTGTCACCACCAGGTGCCCACCAAAATGAAGGTGGCACGTAGCGTGTAAGGTCCGACAGTGACGCGCACACCTGACCGTTGCACCTGGGAGGCAAGTACAAAGCTGGCAGCGCACCTCGGGGAACCCTCGAGCGCGACGCGGAGATTCTGCGAGCCAAGATAGACATCAGCAACCAGAACGTTCAGGAACAGGTCAGGGACTCCAAGAAGAAGCATAATGGGGGCAAAGCCAAGGAGGCCGACGAATATTTCTGGGAGCTCCTGTCAATTGCGGGCTCGGAGGGATTGGCCAGCATGCTACATCAGGGGCAGCTGAGCGATGATATATTGACTCGCTTGCAGAGTAGATCCACCGAACCCATTCTGAGATACTCTGTAGGTTTTGTTTCGATGTTTCGTGTTTCGGGCGAAGCTGTCGAAACCGAATTCGCCTTGGAGGATCTGCTAAGTAGAGTTACTCGAGTTCAGACCCTCGCCACTGATCTCCCCCTCGCCCCCGTCGTTTCCCCCTCTCCCTTCCCGCTCCTGGATCCCTTTGCCCTCCCGAATCCAAATCCCACGGAGTAGGGACATACTTGTAGGATTGCGATTTCATGACTCGCTTCCTATTGCTAGTCTGGGGACTGGTGCTTCTGGAGGTCGGCCTAGAGGCTTTCCCCAACGGTCGCCCCTCTTTAAGCCAGCGGAGTTCCCCAGCGAAGCCGCTGGTAGGCGTTATAAGGCGCAACACAGAGCCACTTCATATTACAAGACTGCTGGCAGGAGTAGCCGTTTTTTCGTTCCCACAGGGCTTCAGACGCGAAACCATGGCTCGCAAGTGGTCGGATCTGATCTGATCGTCCTCTTCCTCCTCCTCCTTCCCCTCCTCCTCCTTCTCCCCTTCTCCGCCTCCTCCTCCTTCTCCTGTTGCTCTACACCAGGCTCGCGGCCTTCGAGATCTAAATCGTACCTCGTCGCCAGCTGCGGTGTCGCTGGCCTCAGTACGTCCTGCGATGTTGGGTGCTGGCTGCCAGCGCTCAGGGTCCAGGACGACCGCGCCAGCGGGGCCCAGCCGTTTTGCTTGAAGCATAACGGTGCCAGCTGCGGTGTCGTCTGCGTCAATGTGGCCTGTGATGTCGGGTGCTGCCAAGGGTTTGGGCCCCAAGCGGCGTTCGAGGCCCCAGTCGATCGTGCCGACGGGGCTCAATAATTTTGCTGAGACTGTCTCGACCGTGCACACGACTGACGGGGATGAGAACGACTCGGACGTTCAGCCAGTCGTGAGACCACTGTGCTACGTCTCCCGAGAACTGTCGCTGATCCGACCGTTCTTTCGGGATAGACTCCCAACGAATCTCGCGAGAGCGGGGTGAACGTCCTGAACCGTGAGCCTACCCCTCAACAGCCTCTAAGAGCAGGACTGGACCCCGTGCCGACCCCCGTAGGTAATACCTCTGACCCGCCCCCTCTCGTTTCTGGTGCCTTCGCGGGCAATCCTCCTCTCGCCCCTGCTCCCACCCCTGCCGTCCATGAGACCTCCGTGCCGAGACGCCCCGACGCCCCCCCCGGCCGGCGCAGCCTCCCCACCCTAAGCGTTTCAGCGGGGCCTCGAGCACTGAGGTTCTAGCACGGCTTAGAGCACTGGCATGGGAGTCGGTCAGCCTTCGAGCGCTTGCATCACCATGTAGCGCCCGCAGGAAGTAGCACAGGCAGTAGACAGGGTCCCCGAAGCCCTGTTTTTTTTGGGGGGGGGGCGGGCTTGTCCCGAAGTCTTCGGTTGCAAGGGCCGGTCCTAGTGCACCACTAGACAGCAAACTCAATCACGCACCATAGGGTTCGTGCTTTCCTCCAGTTTTTCCGCCGCCTCCTCCCTCCCCTTCCTCTTCCACCTCCTCCTCCTGGCCGCACCCGCCCCGAACGGGAAGGCGCGCCACACCGATATCTCCAGCATCGTCTCCTGGGCGGCGGCTGGCTGTTGGTGGGAGGAGGGGGGGAGGAGGCGCGGAGGGGAGGAGGGGAGCAGGGAGGATGGAGGAGGGAGGACGATGCTGATGATGGTGATGATGCTGATGATGAGGATGCTGATGGTGATACTGATGATGATGATGCTGCTGCTGATGATGATGATGATGCTGATGGTGATGATGATGATGACGAGGACGATGATGGTGATGCTGCTGCTGGTGATGATGACGATGACGCTGCCGCTGATGATGATGCTGATGATGATGCTGATGATGATGATGCTGATGCTGCTGATGATGATGCTGATGCTGATGCTGCTGATGGCGATGACGCTGATGTTGCTGATGAAAATGCTGATGATACTGCTGCTGCTGCTGCTGCTGATGATGATGATGATGATGATGATGATGATCTTGCTGCTGATGACATGATGCTGATGCTGCTAATGCTGATGATGATGGTGATGATGCTGAGGAGGAGGAGGAAGAGAAGAGGAGAAGAGGAGGAGGAAGAGGAGGGGGAGGGGGAGGGAGGAGGAGGAGGAGGAGGAGGAGGAGGAGGAGGAGGAAGAGGAGGAGGAATAAGAGGAAGAGGAGGAAACGGAAGAGGAGGAGATGGAAACGGAAGAACGTCCCGAACACCTTTGGATGCCGTCTGGGCTCGAAAGTTCGTACACTCGTCCGCGCGAAAGCCCTTCGCTGGTTCACCCGCCGAGAGCCTCCGCAGCTCCGCGGTGGCGGGATTCGCGGCGGCTGGCATCACCCCCTCAGAGAAGGAGAAGGCGGAGCGATGAGGAGTAAAGAAGTGAAGGAAACGAAACAAGAGTTAGGATTAGGTCGGGCCTGTCCCCCTGCAGGCGGATTTTTGGCGAAACATGAAACATACTAAACAAATACTCTGAAATAGCAAAAATACTAAACAAGTCGTCCCTATACGATTTTGGGACTATTTTTGAATATTCACCCTGTAGGAAGACCACACCACATCCAGCACGCATCACTGATCGGCGGCTGCCAGAGGGGTCCCTGGGCCAGGGTGTCCCAAACTTTGCGCCCCACGTGGGAGCCCCTGGGACTCTCTGGCTGGGCCTTGCGAGGGGTGCTCTGGAGGCCACGGAGGCATCCCTGGGAAATCCTGGGGCTGCCCTGGCCCGAGGACACCGCCAGCAACACCCGAACGGGTGCTGCGACACACCCTCCCGGGCGAAGTCGCAAGCCTTACAGTCGGGGCGTTGACCCAAGGAACCCTGGATAAGGAACGAGGCCCCTTTTTCCCAGAAGTTAAACTCCGATTTCCCATGGAAAACCCAAGGCACTCTGTAAAACAATCACGGAACACCGAGCCCCTCGCCAACGAGTCTTCAGTGCACCGACTGTAGTAGGAGAGCTTAAGGGTGGACCACCTGGCACACGCGGAGCAAGCTCCCAAGGTGCATGCTGGCTGCACGAGCGAGTCTCCGGGAGCCGAGTGTACAGCGTGCACCTTGGGATAATATACCCCAAAAAGGGCCCTGAAGGAAACGGGTCCTGGCTTCTGGGGCTCTCCTCATGGCCGGCTGTTCACCTATCGGGAGCGGCCAAGAGGGGGGTGTCCAAGAGGGGGGGTGCAAATCATGACTGGCGGCATGTGCGCGGCCCAATAGGGGGGCCAGGGACGTAATGAAATAAGAAGAGGCGCCATGAAATCTGGGGAAAAATCATGGCCCCCGCCATGATATCCACCCCCCCCTAGTCATCACCCCCCTCTTTTCCGCCCCCGAACCCAGAGTCGTTGAATGGCGGTCCTGGGGCCCGGGAAGGGTCCCGAGAGCTCGAAACACGGCCAACATTCTCGGTGCCCTGAGTCAATGTCCGACCCGGATTAGCCGCTCCGCATTCGGCATAGAGCGTGGTACCGCGAGCGCGTCCTTTAAGAAGTATGCGGTGCACGCAGGGGGGAGGACAGAGTAGGAAGAGCCAGAGGAGGAGGACGAGGGAGGAGGAAGACGATGAACTGGAAGAGTCAGAGGAGGAGGAGGAGGGCGAGGGAGGAGGAGAAGGAGGAGGGCGGAGGAGGAGGAGGAGGAGGAGGAAGAGGAGTGGGAGAAAGGAGGATGAGGAGGGGGAAGAGGAGGAGGAGGGGGAGCAAGAGGAGGTTGACAACGAGGAGGACGGGCAAGCCTGGACCGACTGTGCCCAGCCGCAAGTCAATGCAGGTGCTTCTGTTCAAGCACGGCGCGCGCCCGATGGGAGGGCGAGGGCCCCAGTAAGCATGGAGCTGCAACTGCACGGCGAGAGCTCCACGCGCGTGTCTCGAAGGGGCCATCGGCGATCACGTTTCTGGGGGCGTCATGGATTTCTCCTCCTTCTGGGGATTCGAACCTCGCTCCTCGCCTCCTCGCCTCCTCCTCCTCCTCCTCCCCCTCCTCCTCCTCCTCCTCCCCCTCCTCCTCCCCCCTCCTCCTCCCTCCTCCGCCTCCTCCTTCTCCTCTTCCCTCCTGCACCTCCTCCTCCTCCTCCTCCTCCTCCTCCTCCCTCCTTTTCCCTTCAGGGCATATATCTGCCACAGTGGGCCGCGGGAGGCCTCGGGGCCTTAGTGACGCCATCGCTCGCTCGTCGCGCGATCTTCGGCATCGTCGTCGCCGAACCCTCCAGAATCCTCCATTCAATTTCCTCATGAATAACGCCTCCCTGTCGCACCCTGAGTCCAGTCGGAAGGGCGGGCTGGTCGTTTCGGCTGAGAGCTCCTTACCATCTATGAGCCTGAAACTTGGAAACTGGCAACAGCTTCGCAGCCGGAGGGCAAGCGGTGTTCAAACTGTGGCTCTCGCCGCAGCGCCGCGCACCGTCGTTGTCGACATTCGCAAGAATTTCACGGATTGAGGGCGGGCCGTTTTCAACATGTGCCCCTCGGCTCCGCGCCGCGCACATCCGTCTTCAAACACTGCAAACATTTCACACACGAAGGGCAGGCCGTTTTCAACATGTGATACTCGCCTTCGCGCCGCGTGCATTCGTCTTACAACTTTGCAAGCATTTAACACTTGTAGGGCAACTCGTTTTCAAAATGTTGCTCTCGCTCTAGCCCCGCGCGCATCCGTCTTAACCATTTGCAGCAGTTGCACGGGTTGAGGGCGGTTCGTCTTTACCATGTTGTTCTGGCCTTCGCGCCAAGCGCACTCGTCAGAGCAATTTGCAAAAAGTTTCACGGATTGCGGACAGTTCCTTTTCAAACTGTGGCTCTCGCCTAACACCGTGCACATTAGTTTCACAACTGCATAATGGTTTCACGTCTTCTCATGGTAAACGTACCAGAAATAAGGTTTTGGAGCGATTCAGACATGCCAGGGCGCAACAGTCACGTTGATTCGCTGTGTTGAAGTCCCAGGAATGGTGTTCTGCTACGGTTCATGATCGTCAAGACGTAACACTCAGGTTGACTCGTGGCGTTGAAGTCCTGAGAATGGTGTTTTGATGTGCTTCATGGTTTTCACACGGCTGTCTCCCAACGTGGCACTTCCCTCAGTGGAAAAGAACCCTTTTATGGGGCCTGTAAAGAGGGAGCTTGGAGGGAGGGTGTGTTCCAACATGGCTGACGAGTCGTCTTGGGTTTGCACTGGCCCTCCTACTCCTCCTACTGCGCCTCGTCGGATCCGCCGATACCTGCTTGCCGGGGGTGAAACGGCGTGTGAAACATCTGGCTGTCCCCCTCCCCTGAGGGTCAACGATGAGGGGACTGGCTCACGGGGGGGAACACCGAGCTATACGTAGGTCGGGCGCGTCCCCCTACAGGCGGATTTTTCCCAACCGTCCTGTGGTGTTGGGTCCTCGTTTTGAAGAGACGGTCCCCGCGTTCCTCCTTCTCCTCCTCCTCCTCCTCCTTCTCCTCGCCCTCCTCCCTCCTGCGTTCGCATGCCTCCCCACCACCCATTTCGGCACACCCCTCACACGTTTCGTGGCCCCATAGGGAGCTCCACCGAAGGCCCCAGTGGCTGCGTTCGCATGCCTCCCCACCACCCATTTCGGCACACCCCTCACACGTTTCGTGGCCCCATAGGGCAGCTCCACCGAAGGCCCCAGTGGCTGCGTTCGCATGCCTCCCCACCACCCATTTCGGCACACCCCTCACACGTTTCGTGGCCCCATAGGGAGCTCCACCGAAGGCCCCAGTGGCTGCGTTCGCATGCCTCCCCACCACCCATTTTCGGCACACCCCTCACAACGTTTCGTGGCCCCATAGGGAGCTCCACCAGTGGCTGCGTTCGCATGCCTCCCCACCACCCATTTCGGCACACCCCTCACACGTTTCGTGGCCCCATAGGGAGCTCCACCGAAGGCCCCAGTGGCAGGGTTCGCATTCCTCCCCACCACCCATCTCGGCACACCCCTCACACGCTTCGTGGCCCCATAGGTGGCCCCATAGGGAGCTCCACCGAAGGCCCCATGGCTGCCGTCCGCATGCGTCCCGCACACCCATTTCGGCACACCCCTCACACGTTTCGTGGCCCCACAGGAGCTCCACCGAAGGCCCCAGTGCTGCCGTCCGCATGCGTCCCGCACACCCATTTCGGCACACCCCTCACACGTTTCGTGGCCCCATAGGGAGCTCCACCGAAGGCCCCAGTGGCTGCGTTCGCATGCCTCCCACCACCCATTTCGGCACACCCCTCACACGTTTCGTGGCCCCATAGGGAGCTCCACCGAAGGCCCCAGTGGCTGCGTTCGCATGCCTCCCCACCACCCCACCACACCATTTCGGCACATAAACGGCCCCTCACACGCTTCGTGGCCCCATAGGAGCTCCACCGAAGGCCCCAAGTGGCTGAGCGTTCGCATGCCTCCCCCGCACCCATTTCGGCACACTGCCCTCCGACGTTTCGTGGCCCCATAGGGAGCTCCACGAAGACACCCAGCTGCTGGCGTTCGCATGCCTCCCCACGGCACCCTGTCGGGCACACCCCTCATACGTTTCGTGGCCCCATAGGGAGCTCCACCTGAAGGCCCCGTAGTGGCT